AAAATAAAATATTTAAAATTTACTAATTAAATAAATAATTGAAATACAATGTTTATATATATATTTATTTTAAAAAAAAATAAAAATAAAAATAAATTAAGTAATATAATCCGTTACAATCCCTCCAAATTAAAGGGATTGAAAATAGAGGAGAGAGGGGACTTCGTCTCCCTCCATCTCTCTTCCCTCCATTAAAATTATCTATCTTCTTTTTGAATGTAAAAATCTTGCTAATAATCAATTTAATCAGGGATGGCCAAGAAAAAAAAAATCGATTTAATCAGGGCCTTCTTCATTCCGCCATCTACCCTATGACTTCCCTCATATATCTGTGAGTAACGTTCCTCACATTGATTCATTTCAACTAAAACTAGAAGCATCTCTCTTTTATCGTTTTTGCATAATTTTTTCTCATTTGTTGGCATACCATTTTTTTTCTTTTGTAACCATCCGATCTTTGAGATGGGCTGTCAAAGACTCACCATTCCTTCAAATAACTCTCTTTTTCTGAGCATAATTTTTTCTAGCTTGGCTTTTGTTTTATTTTATTTTATTGTATTTTATTTTTTGTTCATTTGAACAAATGTGAGGAGGTCAGTCTTTTTCTAGATCCATCTTTTAAAGAAAATGTTAAATATTGCAGTGTATTTTAGATATGCACGTTAAATTGCTAATTAACTTTGTTAATTAGTTTTGGATGGTATTCATTTAGATAGCTGTTTATATCTTGGTTAAACAGAGTTTTACACAAATATGATATTTTTTATTACTTCAGGGATCTCCGTTAATGCCTTATGCTGTATGCTTATTCATTTCTGTTTTCCCTGATAATGCTGCATGTAAAAAGACAAAATAGTGGAGTGACCAGAACATACGAAAGTGTTTGACAAATGTATGTTGATTATTTGATCTTGATTTTGCTTATTTATTTTAGTAAGTTGATCATCTCTGCTTTTGTGAAGGGTCTATTTACTTATAAGGATAATGAGAAAAACAATAACAAAACAAGTTTTCCTTATGGAAACCAAAACTTGAACCAAGGGAGTTAAGATGAATTTGTCTAAACTTTAAATCATAAAATACTATTATAACTTAGTTCAATCTTATGTACATTTCTATTTATGTCATTCCTTTTCTTTTTTATTTTCTTGAAGAACTGAACATTGATGTAAAAACCCATGAATTGAGATACAACGATGAGAAAATTAAGGCTTGCAACCATCTTCTATAAACACAATAGCCAACTCTTTTATTACTAAAGTTTTTATTTTTGTTGTTTGCAGATAGCTATAGGGCCTTGAATGTGGCCCAAACATTCATGTACATGTACTTCCCTTGTGCCTTGGTTTTTTGGCTATTGCTGAAAAGTTCTTTCATTTTGGTGCGGAATTTTTGCATTTGCTCTTTATCATGTGTTACCAACTACTCTGTGGAGTATGTTACGGATGTTATATGCATTAAAATATTATATTGTAAATTTATTAGACTTTTATCCTCTTTTAAGTTTTAACTCCAACTCTATCCATTAAATTTCAATATTTAAGATGCATAAAACAATATAAATGTAAAAATGTTCTTTTTTTTTTTTCATTAGTTTTCTGCAAACCAAAAGGGCCGTTGTATATGATTTTAACAATTTTTAAACTCCCTTAAAGTGTTCTTTGGACTTTCAACTTAACTTCCAATGCATGTACTAAAAATTAAAACATAATAATACAATACAATTTTATGTTATGCATCAAACGAACAGTTATTTTACAACAGAGAAAGTAACATAGATTATATTACAGTCCAATTAGGATTTAATTTCTTATGAATTTTATTAACTGCTTTTTATTATAGGATTTTTTTTTTGTATTAACCTCTTGGTATCCGGTAATCACATTGGTCTTAACTAATTCAGAATCGAGTCATGTCGAACCCCATAAGGGGAAGCTCTCACAGCACCTATTTCTCCATTCACAAGACTCGAACTTGAGACATTGCTTAAGGAGAACCAAA